CCTCCCGAGACGCCAGCGCCTGTGAGCTTCTGGGACTTGGCCGCCTTCTAGATACTTGGTGCTGACTTTGACCATTTGATTTTTTTTTCATCCTTTTTCTTCTTTGGCAGAGGCAGGGCGGGCGGGGGGTGGGGGGGGAAGGTGTGGGGACAGAAGAAACCAGTAATGCGTTACTCAATGGGTAGAGGTTATAGCCTGAATGTGGTAGGAAACCACCATGCCGGGTTGACAGGGAAGTCAGGGTAGCAGAGGTGTAGACGTGGGAGAAATCTGGGAGGGGAGGAAGAAGCGGAGGCCTACGGTTGCTTCAGAAAAAGTCACATCTTAGGGTCAGCCTATGGTCTGGTGGTTAGGGCGGCTGGATCCCACATCGCTACCTGTGGGGTTCCAGTTCTGGACCGGCAGAAATGCGCCTAGAAGGGCTCCCCACATTTTGCAATATTTCCTGATCGAGTGCGCCCCCAACTCCCTATTCCCGTGTTTTTCTTTTTTCTTTTTTAAAATTGTTAGAAGGCGCGTGCGCGTGCCAGAAACACAAAGTTCTGGTGGTTAGGGCGGCTGGATCCCACATCGCTACCTGTGGGGTTCCAGTTCTGGACCGGCAGAAATGCGCCTAGAAGGGCTCCCCACATTTTGCAATATTTCCTGATCGAGTGCGCCCCCAACTCCCTATTCCCGTGTTTTTCTTTTTTCTTTTTTAAAATTGTTAGAAGGCGCGTGCGCGTGCCAGAAACACAAAGTGAGAAAGCACCCCCTGGAGGATGGGCACGGCGAAACCTCGTCTGTTCTCCCCGCCCGCGCGTGCGTGCCCGTCGTGCTTTTCAAGCCGCGGTGCGGACTCCACGGCGCGGTCAGCTCTGTGGGATCCAATGACCTCCGCGCCATCTGCTGGCCAGCAAATGGTGATTTTCCGTGCCCCCCCCCAACCCCACGGTGTTTCTTAAAGCGGGGCGTCAGCGCCATGCGGTTTGGAACCTCATTTGTGTGCCCTGCGGCAAGTGCTGGACGGCGGGGTACACTTTGGACTTCATTATCCCCCTCTTAGCAGATTTTGGAGTCTCAGAAGTTTGATGTGGACAGTGGGAGGGCTGCTTTTGAGAGTTCTGCCAGGAGATTTAGAATGCGATTGGTCGACGTAAATATACAGTTTTGTTTAAAAGAAAAATTGGAACAGTCTGGCTGTTGTAATCCACCCTTTTTGCTGTGTGTGCACCTTTTAGTGCTCCTGGGGTGAAATTCTATTTTCATCCCAAATCATTGTGAACTAAGTAGATCTTATTCGATAGGCTGCTGGCAAGTGAATGCCCCATGAGAATAATCTTCAAAAATACTTTAAATGTCACAATGTCTTTTTAAATTTAATTATGAATTTCGTGTGTATACCTTAAAGAATTTGTTAAAATTGTACACATTTACTGAGGACTCCTAGTGGAGCTGTTGATAGCTTTACCAGCTCTAGTTGGAAAAATCTATGGGTCTTCAAAAATATGTATTAAAAAGAAACTTATCCATTGTATTCTTATTTCCTTCTGATGATACGGTCTAAAGTTGATTGCAGAGAATCAGCAGAGAAATCAGGATAATAATTTTGCTTCTCAGAGATATTCACCTCGATAAAGTATGTTTCTTTTGGCTTTCAAAGTTTGGATTCTACTGTATTTTTCTCTATTGAATTGATTTTCCCCTAACATTACACAGGCATTTCTAATATTAATAAATATTCTTTGACAACAGGCTTGCCAGTGGCAATGTTAGGGAAATATAATTTATTTAACCTTTTGTTTATTTAAACCTTTTGTTTAGATAATTAGGTAGTTTCTGATGTTCTATTTAAGTAGAGTTCAGAATGACTTTTTAAACTCAGTCCCAAGTTTTGTGGCTGAGAAAAAAGCATCAAAAAAGTTGCCGTATCTGGACCAGAAGTTACACCTCTGGTTAACTGTGGAGCTTAAATTAGAACCTTCCGCCTGTGATTCCTGATTTAGTACCATTTTCACACTACCACATGCCCCTCACGCACACCAGCTAATTACTCCCTTCTTTGGTCTATTTGGAATAAATACAGTGAATCCAAATTATGATGCAATGTAAATGTGATGTGTGTAAATACTTCAAGTTTAAATATGCTCTTTTTCGGGCCAACTTTAAGAAATAAGAAAGCTCATTTAGACATCAGGCATTTTGCATAATGTCTTATTTTTCATATTCATTAAAATGGTTTAACAAGTTGCTGTTTCATATTTAGCTTTTTTGTGGTTATCTATTTCACTTTTGTGAGAGTCAGTTGAATTTAATTGGTTTCATATCATTTACTTTTGCAGTTTATTTCTATGTTATCAATTGTAAATATCAAGTTTGGAAATTCACCGGTCACCACAAATGTGCCTGTGTAACACCAAGTTTAAGGTGGACTGGCGGTTAAGGTGGCTGAATCCCACAAGCATGTAGTTGGAGTCCTGGATCTGGCAGCTTGAAAAAGAGGGAGAAATGGAGGAGAGGCTGCGCTGTGAGCTTGCCCCGACCTTGTGCTCTTTGTTTGTCTCCCTCTTCTTCCAACAAGCACACACACCCTCTAGAAAAAAAAAAAATATATATATATATATAAAAGAAAGTTTAAAGCATATCATTGAAAACACATGGTGGCATGGGCCAGATGGTCAGGTTTCTTAAATGAGAAGAAATTTATTGATCTACAAAATTAGAATGACTAGAAATAGTTCTTTGTGATAAATGCATACTCACTTATCTCAAAGCTTCATACTAAACAGGACTCATTTGCTAACCTGTAATGATTACAGATATAAAAATACTTAATACAATTTTCAGCTAAAATATATTTTTACTATTAAAGTGTTTTTCTTCCATGAGCAGAGACATAGCAAGAGAGAGAGAGAGAGGACCCGAATACGGTCCCAGCACCACGATCTGCCCCTTAGCTTTCAGCCAACCCCAGGTCGGGCACATGCATATCTAGCTTATTCAGGAGGTGTCTGGACTTGAAGTGGGAAGCTTTCCGTGTGGGATTGTGGCCTAGTGTCGTGTTTTACTGTTGTACCATTAGTCTGGCCCCTATAATACATCTTTTAAACAATTCATAATTTTAAAGATAATTTTCTCTAGAAACTGTTTATTTAATGTGGTATCTGATCTAAACTTTCTCTTTGCTTATTCTTAGATTATATTATTGTAACTATTGAAGATGACAGTGATGATGACAGTGACGATATTATGGTGATAGACGACACTGAAGGAGAGGTTATTCAGGACAGATGTTCCTCTGATGACACGCTGCCCATACAGCCAAATTTTCAAGGCAGCGGTAATGACCATCAACAACCATTACAGATGCCATATGGTAATTTCATTAATTTTCTTCTTGGGTGAAATTTTGCTCTCTGGTCCCTGTTTCCAGTGAATCACTTAAATATTCCTACAATTATCCATCAATTATTTATTACTAGAGGGCCGAGCTTCATGGTAATACCACAGAGTTTACTTGTACTTGCATTTTCCCTTGAGCATATATACCTAGAAGTGGAATTGCTGGATTCTGTTGATTTTTTGGAGAAACTACGATACTGTTTTCCATAGCAGCTGTACCATTTTACAATCCCACCCATATTTCGCAAGGTTTCCAGTTTCTCCACATGCTTACCAACACTTATTTCCATCTTTTTTTCGTTGTAGCCTTCCTAGTAGGTGTAAAGTGGTACCATAACTGTGGTTTTGAGATTTATATTTCATTAATGTCTAATGGTGTTGAACATTTTTTCATGTGCTTTTTGGCCATTTGTATATGTTTTTCTTTTTCTTCTTTTTAAGAATTATTTAACTTTATTTATTTTAATTTGACGAGAGAGAGAGAGAGAGAGAGAGCACGAGCGCAAGCCACTAGGTCCAGGACACAAATTATTCATTCTCGGATGTGAAAAAACACTAGTATAGCTTTTTTTTTTTTGAGACTTTCTTTTTGCTATAGGGCACGTGCGCTCGCCATAAAGACAGAGACAGACAGAGAGACAGAAAGTCAGAAAACATCCCCCAGGGGGGATGGCCACATTGCAATCCCTTCTTCTCCATTCTCCTCTTGGGATCTTGGGCACACATGCACATGCACCTGGCATGAGTTTAAGCCACAGGGTCTGGGACTTTAACCGTGGTCGACTACATGGGAGTCCAGCGACATAGCCATTATGCTAACTGCTGGTCCCACACTAGAATAGCTTTTTAAAAATTTTATTATTTTTTTAAGAGTTCACGAAAACCCGTTTAAGGGCTCAGTGATAATTTATCGTGTCAAACACTAACATATTTAAAAGTACAATTATTAAAATATTATCGTGTTCTGAAACAGGGAGCCAGATTTAATGCAATAGGAAGCTCATAATCAGAACAAAGAATTTAGAGTTAATATTTTATAGCATTTTAGTGTGAAAGATGGAGAGGAAATCATCCTGCAACAAATGCTTAACTACTGGGGTAAAACCAATTGGATTTTTTTTTTTTTTAGAGGTTTTTGCTATAGGGTGTGCACGCTCGCTAGAAAGACAGAGACAGAGAGACAGAAAGTGAGAAATCACCCCCAGGGGAGATGGCCACACCGCAATCCCTTCTCCTCCATTGTCTTCTTGGGATCTTGGGCACGCACACACTCACGTCCCACGGGAGTTTAAGCTACCGAGTCCAGGACTCGAACCATGGTCGACTACATGGGAGTCCAGCAACATAGCCATTATGCCAACTGCTGGTCCCAGCCCATTGGATTTTATCTCACATTGCATACTTACATAATTTTGAGATGGACTATAAAGTGGAATAACTAATACATGGAAGTATGGAAAAAACTTGAAGAAAATACAGTTAATGTTTCCTAATCTCAGTGAAAGATGAAATACAAAGGAGGTTGGAGGAATCATAATAAATATTAATGAATTTGACTAAATAATTACCAAAGAACCTCTTGCTTTCTCAAAAACATGAGACTTCAAAATCAAACCGCTACCTGAGAAAAGTATTTGTTGTAATTATACGTTTTCGGGGCTTATTGTCCTTAAGATAGCAGGACCTCAGACAGACCAGACAGGAAACACTGAAACTCTGACTGGGCATTGAACAGGGGACACGAAAAATATCAATTCATAGAACAGGAAATAGTAATAGGCAGAAACGACCTGAAAAATATTCAGTGCGTTCGTAATGAGATAAATGCAAATATAAAATGAGATACAAACTTTAACTTTCATCTATAAAATTAGCAGTTATTATTATTTTTTTTTGAGAGAATTTTGTTATAGGGCATGTTCCCTCTCTAGAGAGACAGATAGAAAGTGAGAAATCACTCCCGGGGGAATGGCTATCCTGAAATCCCTTCTCCATTCTCCTCTGGGGATTTTGGGTCTGGGACTACAACTGCAGGCAACTACGCGGGAGTTCTGTGGTGTAACCACAGTGTCATCTGCTGATCCCCAGATCAGCAATTTTAAAAGGTCATTCACTTTAGTGATAATGTAGAAAAACCATTGTATTGCACTATTGGAATGTACATTAGTACCACCTTTTTGAATATTTCGGCTGCACCTACCGTAGAGCCTCCTAAATGTTTGTGGCCTTTGACCTAGTGATTCTTCTAGATATCTATTGTAAGGAACTACTCAGGGGACTAGCCCTGTAGCATAGTGGCTAATTGCTGTGCAGAGGAAGCTGAATCCTTCATAGCTAGTCTAGGTTTGAATTCTGTCCCAGGGACTTGAAAAACATGCCAGGCAGGTGTCTAGGATCCTGACAAAGATGGAGAAATAAAGGAAAAAAGGATTGCAGTGAGACTGGGGGTGGGGAGGGTGTTGTTGGTGGAGGGTGTGGGTGTGCTCTCTCACATGCACACTCAACTTCGGACATAAAAAAACGAAGAACAAACTAGAGATGCTTAGAAATATTCCCGAGTGAATGTGTATACATTATTATGTCAAAATAGTGAAAAGTTAGGAGTCATATAAATGTCCCATAATAGAAAATAGATAATACAATCTATGGATATCCATAAAGTGAAGTACTATGGAGTTGTTTAAAAATTATAAATGATATACAAACTTACTCAGGATACATATGCAGGATTATCCAAACTCTATAAAATATACAGCCTGTAGTGTGGTGGTTAAGGTGGGTGGATCCCACGTGGCCAACTGCATGGTTCCAGTCTCAGATCCAGTGCCTGGAAAAACACGCCCTGTGTGTGTGTGTGTGTGTGCCCAAAATCCCAAAAGGAGGGAGAAATGGAGAAGTTATTGTGGAATGACCAATCCCCATAGTGGATGCTTTCTTGCTCTCTCTCTCTCTCTTTCTCTGGTGAGTGCATACACCCTCTGTCAAATTAAAAATAAAATAATATAATATAGAGTAAGAAAAAAAGAAGGAAATATATCTAAAGGTTATAGTATTTATTGGTTATAGATTGCTTTCTCTTTATTTAAATTCAGAATTTTTTTTATAAGGCGCTGCCTTTTTTTTTTTTTTTTTTTAGGTAAAT